GAATCGCGAACGCGTGAGAGGAGTCGCGTTCGCGTAGGGTAATTGGAGCAGCTGGGACCCCAGGACTTTTGTGCTTCGCGTTCGCGTAGGTAAGCTCGCGTTCGCGAAAGCATGGACAGTTGAAGCTTCGCGTTCACATGGAGGATGTCGCATTCGCGAAGGAGTAATAATTTGTCAGTGGAATTTTGTGCTTCGCGAACGCGAGGAAGCTACCGCGTTCGCGAAGAAGGAAATAACACCTGGGCAGAATGTTTAAATAGTCATCTTCGCGATTTTTAGGCCAATTCTTACCATTGTTGGCTGGATTTGAAGCTTTTTGAGAGGGATTGAAGAGATATTCGAAGGGAAACACTTGGAGATAAGATTTTTGAACTCAATACTCGATTCTATGGTGATTTATAACTATTTAGACATAAAATTAGTGGGATTTAAAGCCTAAATTGGGGAATTAGGGCTTGAAAATGGAGAGTGTAAATTGGGGATTTGAGTGACCATTTGAGATCCGATTTTGATGTTCTTGGTATGTACGGACTCGTGGGAGGATAAGGATTCTATTGATGTAATTTTTATCGAATTTTGAGACGTGGTCCTGGGGGTCGGGTTTGACCAATTTCGGGATTTTTGATGTAATTTGATTATTTTCGCGTGGGCTTTGTTCCCTTAGCATATATTGATGTTATGGTTCTGATTTTGGATAGATTCGGGACAATTGGAGGCCGAGTCGTGAGACAAGGGCATTGTAGAGTAGATTTTCGTCCGGTATGAGGTAAGTAATGATTGTAAATGTTGTCTTGAAGGTATGAAACCTCGTATTTCACATTGTTGTACTACTTTGAGGTGACACACATGCTAGATGACGAGCATGGGGTCGTGAACCGTTGGGGATTGTGACTTAGTCTGTCCCGTACGACTATTAATTCGCGTATTTGATTGAAAACTGTTTGATACTATTGTGTTTTGGAAAGTATTATTATATTTTGAGCTGAATGCCATATTTGGGCCTCGTGCCAACTGTTTGGACCCTTAGGGGCTTTTTACTACTATTTCTCACTATTTTGACTTAATATTTGTACTCAGTCATGTTGTGTTTTACTGATTTTATAACTCAGCGTTATTTACCCAGTTTTGATATTATAAATGATATTTTGGGCTGAACGCCCTGTTTTACTGATATTCCAAGTGGCTTGTGAGGTTGATGGCTGAGAGAGAGACCGAGTGCCTGATTGTGAGGTTGATGAGAGAAAGAGGCCGAGGGCCTGATTGTGAGGTTGTTGACTGAGAGAGACCGAGGGCCTGGTTGTGAGGATTATATATTTATGGATCGGGATGCACGTCGCATATATATAAGAATCGGGCTACGCGCCGCAGCGATATATGGATCGGGCTGCACGCCGCAACGATATGTTGGATCAGGCTACACGCCGCAGCGATATAGCGCTTGGGCTGTAGGAGCTCTTCTGGAGTCTGCACACCCCGAGTGAGTGCAGTCGACTATATATCTATGGATCGGGTTGCACGCCGCAGTGGTTATTATATGGTACCTATTGAGCGTTGATTGATGAGAGTTGAGTCTCGAGTGATTGAGAGACTTGCCCGAGGGGATGTATACATATATGAGTGATGTTTTGCCCGAGGGGCCTGTTTTTATGAAACTGCTGTTTTCACTCCTCTTTATACTCAGCCTCTGTTGAAAATGTTGAACAAATACTTTTAACCAACTTTCATTTAAATTGGAGTTTTACAAGAGGTTCGGAATTTAATCGCCGATTTGGCTTCGTTATTTGCACTAAGATTTTTATGTTATGAGATGTTTACGATTCTTGTTTGCCTGAGGGGCTGTATACGAACTATGTTTTGCCCGAGGGGCCGATTATGATCACTTTTATTATAAATCTTATTAAACCTCTATTGAAACTGTTGGAAAGTATCTTCAGATGATTTTTACCAAAAGCTGGATTTTAAATGAGACGATTGACTCATATTCTGATTTGAAAGCTTGTTGTGCTTACTGAGTTTATCCTGATGTGGATTTATCATTTCCTACTGTTCAGTCTTTATTTACTTTTATTACTTACTGAGTTGGCGTACTCACATTACTCCTGCACCTTGTGTGCAGATTCAGGAAATCCTGAGCTTTCAGCAGCTTTTGTGTATTTTCGGAGTTAACAAGGTAGTTGTACGGCATTCGCAACCCTGCCATTCTCCTTCCTACCTTAGTACTTTATATTTCAGACTTAATTTGTATTAAGCAGGCAGTATTGAGTTGTACTTAGTGACTCATGACTAGTGACACCAGATTCGGGCTGTGTGATGTATTTACGTACTTGTTTCTGCGTATTTCTTTTGATATTTTAAACATGAAAGGTTTGAGACTTAATATGTCACAAAGATTGAATTGTTCAAAGATCTTCATATTGTTCGTGTTGTTTTGGTTGGCCTAGTATTGTGATAGGTACCATCACGACCGGGGTGTTTGGGATCGTGACATCTATGCACACTACGCCCATCACAAATAACCAACCCGAATCGCTCCAAGATTTCCATATGCCCATAAAGTATAGTACCTCAGGCATTTGGCATTTTTTATGTGTGCATAATTATTACTCCTCGAAAAAAAATTATTACTCCCTCTTTTATAAAAGAATGATATTATTTTTTTATTAGTTCGTTTAGTAAATAATTACATATTTTTAAAATAAAAATTAATTTAATTTGTACTTTTTTACCGTTAACAACATGTTTTTATATTCACACAAATGTTTGTGTCATGTTTAACACCATTAGTTTTTAAAAAATTTATAGTAACATAAATATTATGAAATATTTAAGATTAAAAGTATAAAAAAATATTTATTTTTTTCTTAAATTTTATACTTAGTCAAACTATAAGCCATATAAATTGTAAAGAAAGGGAGTAGTATTAGTTACGTAAAGGTGCTCATAATTAGGAACCATACTTTAAAATAAGTGGGACACTATTGTCTATGTCTTTCCTCTTCATCAAGACCTTTAATATATGGATTTAATCTAACTGTGTGAATACTGTCGCATAACTAACACTAGTATGTTAAAAAATTTCATACAATTACTATTAAGTACTCCATTAGAGAGTCTTGCAGTTTAAACTTAAACTTAATAAGAACGTCTTCCCACAGTCAAATTAAAGCAATTTTGAGCTTAGAGTCAATCATCTTCTTCTTTGAATTATTACTTTGACAAATATTACCAGTTGGGATATTCTAATGGTCCGCGGATCTGTTATTTGGACTTAGTAATCATAATATTTTTTGACTGATTTCTTAACCTTCTAACGACTAATGACCCTTGACTAGAAAACCACAGTACCACACCTAAATCAACTCAATGAAACTGTAAAACGAGTCTTAATCTACTTCCCATTTGATGCTCATTGCTCAGAATATTTTTACGTACATATGTTTTCAAGACTAAATACTTATGTCAATTTTGTCCTTTTTTCTTTTGAAATTAACTCAGTTTTTAAGTATGTTCTATAAATTCCATTCTTTAATGTGGTTTTAAATGGTTATTTATATTTAGAACTAAAAATTCATGGTATTTATGTTCCATCTCATGATAGAGCCTTGGATAACACCGTTTCCAATTAATCAATTGGGAAATATGCTACTTAATAAAATGACTACGGAGGTCAAATTTCAACGGATGTCCAGTGTTTAATTTTGGTCCGGGTTTAAGAAATTTATACAAATATAGAACTAGTGTGTAGTGATTGGCCTTATCCTTCCTCCTCCTCCTTTCGAATCGAATGTGATTAACTCAAACTTTAATCTATCTCAAGTGAGAATTTGCTGTGTATATCATCGATGTTGGTTTTATCTATATTTTGTTGCTGCATATTCATCCCTTTGATTTTTTAGACTTTCGAGTGCCTTTTTTTCCCCTCATGATTTTTTGCTCCAAATCTGGTGTTGATTTCTGATTCGTCATGCCTAGATAAGATCAGCTGTTCAATGTACGTAGTTTGACTAACATTAGGTGTTGAATAGAAAAGAATTTAATTAGAGATATTAACAGTTGAACAACACGGATAAATTTTAATAATTCAACAAAATTAACAAGATATGCAAAATGAAAATAGCAGTATCAAGTTTTGCTAATACATTAGAACTTGTGAATAATTTGTATTAAAGTTATGTCCACTCGTCATCGCTTTCGAAATAGGCAAGTTTTGTCCATCCAATGGAACTTGCTGCTGATAATTCATACCAAAGTTATGGCTCGCTCGGTATAACTTGCGAACAAGACAGGTTTTACTAAGTTGGCAAGACTTTGTATACCAAAATTATGCCCCGAGGCTTTTTTGTTTTGCACCAATTCCTTAAACGGGGACAAATTTAAATTGCGACGCGGAACGATTTTATTTGGGCAGATCACCCCCTAAATGACATTCCAATCTGTTTGCAAACTTTTTTGTGTGCGTTATTTGTTTGGTTCTATTTTAGAATTTCAAAAAAATAAAGATTAAAATGAAGGCCTTTTGACCTTTCACCACGTAAAACCCAGACGATGACCTAATCAAACTAACAGTTGGTGGTCCTAATTGGCCCGTCTATACGCATACGGCGCCAGACTTAGGACAAGTTTCTCCGTGGAGCCTATATAATGTTAACTACATGCAGGCATTGACGCATGCAGCACTTTTATCGAAGTTTACTTCACTATATATAACTTGCTTGGGAGATTACTTTTAATATAACAGTCGCTTAATTAATTAGTAGAACCGAATTCAGATAATTATATATATCTTATGGAGAAAATAATGCTACATCTTTTTCTAGTCTCAGCATAAATAAACAAATTCTCTAGATAATCAAATATTAGTTAGGGTAAGGACAACGTTATGGTCTTAATTAAACATACTATAAGGAAATGTCATTAAACATAAACAGGAAAGTTAAAGTTAAAGAGTTTTGGTTTATTAAAATATGTGTCCATAGCTAGCTCGTCGTGGACAGCTATATATGCTTGAGAGCTTCTTGGTACGTGGTAACTATTTAGATCGTCACCATCTTCCAATATAATTATCTAAAATATTGATGCTTTCAGTTGCTTGTTGTCCAAGAAAATATCGGTAGATTAAAGGGAAGTGGTATATGGAAGATCCCAACTGGTGCTGTTGACGAGGTATGCTCATATACTAAAGGAACATGTTACATATACCTTTACACCGTATATATGTTGAGCTACCTTTTCCTTAATTTACAGGGTGAGAGTATATTTGAAGGTGCAATAAGGGAGGTAAAAGAAGAAACTGGAGTAAGTTTACAGAACACTGAATTCTACGTAACTTCATATACTAACATAAATTTTCTGCTGATACGTTACTGCTATTAATTTTTTCTCTGACATGCATTTAACTTGTTTCTTTATTGCAGATTGATACTGAATTTCTGGAAGTGCTTGCATTTAGGTAGGAAACTTGTGCCATTTTCTTTTATGTTTGAGGAATAATTATATATAGTTGGTTATGCACCACCAGAGAGAGTACTCTTGCGAGAAGGAGAAAATGTATCGTGGCTAAGACCTAACTTTTCATATTTTAGGAAAAGAAAGTTAAAAAGAATATTATAGAGTCCTCATAATCAACTATTGAAGTTTTACTATCAAAAGGTCAAAATAATAACATTCAATTGGTCATGGTTCCAATTGCTTTTTGTACTCCTAGTGTTATCATTTACTACTCCAACCATCCCAAAAAAATGATACTTTTCGCATTTTCATAGTCAAAAGAGTTGTTCTTTGACCACGGTTTTTTATACTTTTAAAATATTTTAAATTATTAATTATGGTGACTTATACTACTTTTACGTAGTTTCCAAATATATAAATTTTATTTGCAAAACTTAAAGATTCTATATTCAAATTCATAATCAAAGTTAAAAATTTGACTCTAGTATCATCTTTTGGGATGGCCTGAGTAATAGATAGGATAGGCTTTTACCCTCTTTGTTTAAAAAAAAAATGACGCTTTTGTCACTTCTATCGCTTCCTTTTGAAAAACGCCATGCAATAACGGAAATAAGTGACTGACCCTCGCTTCTCGCTATTAGCAAGATAGCAAGCGTTATTTATAACACTGGCTTTGACACACCCTTTAAGCAAAATATTATAATATGAAGAGTTACTTGACTTATCATTTTAATATGCCAGTAATTCTTAAAAATCAGTGATCAATTTCTTTTTATATTCTAGAACAGTTGATGCTACGAATTCTTCACATTTCAAATCCTAGAAATGTTGCCAATGTATATAATATATGGATTTGTTGAGTCATGTAATTTTCTCATGGGCAGGCAAATACACAAGTCATTCTTTGACAAGTCAGAGTTGTTCTTCATTTGCATGATGCGCCCTTTATCTTTTGACATCCAAAAGCAAGACTTAGAAATTGAGGCAGCCCAGGTATGTCTATTTTATTTCTTAATTTGAGCTCATAAGTGTAATAATATTTAGAAAATTAGGTCATAACAAGTAAAATTTTAATGATAGTCATTATTTGGTAACATCGTAAAAAGAGTAAATAACCTGTTATTACAAAACAAACTACATTGATCTTTACATTGTTACTTTACATTTATAGTATATATGACTTAAACTTTTATTTATATATATAGATATATTACAGTATTCTCAAGTTCTATAATAATTCTTGCAGTGGATGCCATTTGGAGAGTATGCCGCTCAGCCTTCTATTCAGAAAGATGGTTTATTCAAGTACATCAAAGATTTATGCTTAGCAAAGGCAGAAGGAGATTATCAAGGATTCACTCCTTTGCCAATAACATCTTCAGTTTTTGATGATCATAAGAGTTTCCTCTATTTCAGTAAGGATGGTCTGGACCAAGAAAATTCTGCAATCTAATTAATTTGTCACTGGGGGGCTAGCAATAATTATTGCTACATGAATTCTTCTGTAGTTCTATTCACCTAGTTTGCTAATTATTTTTTGTGGTAATTGTTTCAATTGCCTCTTCTATGAAATAAAGTGTAGTTAAATCTATTTTGTAAGCATCTTTATTCTCTAGAATATCCAATAAAACGTACTATAAAGAATGTATTCTTTCAATTTACTTGCTTTATCTTTTAGCCACCTTCATTTCGTATAGGAGTCTCACCGAATTTACGCTTGCAAGAGCACTTGTTCTAGTGTACTTACTACTAGAAAATGCTTGATTTTCGACAGATATTTTCGAACTCCATAGACCTTCTGTAAAAATTTGCCGGCACTCGGTGCTTATACTAATTCAATAAATATATGATATATATCTTTACATACACTTCTTTCGCTAAATCATATTTAAATAGTACATAATTTCGTCCTAATTCATGACTTAACCATGATAATTTGTACTCTATCCGTTTCAATTTAGATGAGGTATCTTGACTTGGCACGGATTTTAAGAAAAAGAAAAAACACTTTTAAAAGTGTGATGTTAAAAGCTTAAAAAATTTGAGGGGCCATGACATTTGTACAGGTGGTTATAAAAGCTTTTTATTAAGGATAAAATGAAGAGTTTAAAGTTGAATTATTTCCAAATTTAGAAATGTGTCATTTATTTAGGAACAGACTAAAAGGGAAAGTACCTAATCTAATTTGAACAGAGGGAGTGTGATTTAATATAACCACTGGATACGAATAAATTTTTTACGAGACATTCAATCTCAATTAAAGGGGCTGACATGAATGCTTGATTGTGACTCAATCTTATTATGCGTAGTGAATAATCCCACATGGTGCACGATAGAGATATATAAATTCCTGTATACGCTAGATTATTATCAACGATTTGGAATATAACTAATTAGCTTTAAGGAAAAACCTTTAACGTGCATCGTTTGCCACTTTTCAGAAGGCAAGATACAAAGTGAGCAAGTTATATAAATTTTGTCTTGTTTGTTCAAAAGTCGTCACCAACATAAATATCTAACATATTTTAAAGAAATTTAAAATGTTTAAGGAATTTTGAAGAGCTAAAAGAACTCTAGATTAGAGTTTTATTAGAATGAAAAAGTTAGGGTATTCTAGAAACTACCATTCTATAAGTGGCGCCTACATTACTTTCCAGGAAGATATAATCTTAGGTTGTTCAAGAGAATCTTAGCTACGGAAGTGACTAGCTGCTGGGCAGACCCAAGTTAGTTCAAACGGAATCAACTGTATCCGTTTCGTCAAACGTGTTCACTAATATTTTATATGGATATTATTTTTCTAAGGAACAAATAATGGATAAATACTTTTTTTTAAAAATATTTTAAATTAAAATTCTCATTTTACTATAAATAAGAAGCTTTTATAGTAACACAAATATTACTATATATGTAAGATTATAAGTGATGAAAGTTTTATAACCAAACAAATATTATAGTATATTTAAGTCCACAAATTTTTTTAAAAAAATTATTTTCTAAACTTCATACCGAATTAAATTTTTTTCACATAAATTAGAATGAAAGAAGTATATAAAAAGTTTTGTTTCAAGCTGGTGGAAAATATAAATTAAGTTAGATATTTATCGTATCATCTATCTATATCTATACTCTATATTAAAAGCACGAACCTCTTAGCAAAATATCGTTCGCATATTTTACCCTTTAAAAATAGGTTTCACAAGCACAAAATGATCATTTAATTTAAGCTTTTTGCCTAATATGTAGGACTTTGAAATCAACTAAAATTTTACTTATTAAATTTTTTCTTATTTGACTATATAGGATTTTAAAATTAAAATAATTAAAATTTTACCTTATATAAACTCCTTTTGTACTCAATTAACGCCCCTTTATCATTTTCTTTAATCACTAAATACATATTGAGAACTATATAAAATTTGATTACTGCGTTCTTCCTTATTTAAAATATTTAAAATAATTTAAAAAGATATAGGAGAAGGAACCAAATTACATGGATCTTGTAGCGTGAAATACTTAGGCAAACTGTAAATATAAAGCATTTTGCTTTCTGGAAGAAAGTCTTAATACTTAAGATTTAAAATCTTAAAAAATTACCTTCTATACTAATAATTTAATTAAATAAAAGTAATATTATAATTTTAGTATTATAATTTAAAGTCATCCAAATGATAAAAGACAACATAAATTACTCGTGAATAAGTAAAATAATATTCAATAAATTAGATTCAAGTACCAGTTACTAAGATATTATCAACGAATAACTTTTGAATAGTTAACGGTAAATATTTTAACACAAAAAATTCTTAAAATGTGTATGCAAGCAAAACCAAATATTTTAATCACTCTTGTAATTTTTATACAAACACACATACAATGTACTTGAAATAATAATAGACTTTTATACCTTTTGAGAATAATATTGCATTATGAAACACTTCATGTATAATAATAATAATAATAATAATAATAATAATAATAATAATAATAATAATAATAATAATAATAATAATATTCTACCTGAATTGTTATGACAATAATTTTAGTGTTTCTACAAATAAATTTTAAGTACTACCCTTAAATTCGTAATACTATAAATAAACCTAACAATATGGAGTCTCATTTTGTTTTTTCGTATTTGTTTTATTTGAGTTCCAGTAGGATTAAGATGAAAATCATATTTATTATTTATTAGATACTTGAGCAAATAGAATTCATTTTTAAAGCGAAGATAACATATTATTGCATGATATTTGAGTATAAATCAATATATTATTCTATTATATTTGAGCTACTAATAAAGTAAATACACAAATATATTGAAGTTATGGTATCATATTAGAATACTGTAGTGTGACATAGCTTTTTGATCACGCCCAACTATGCCTTATAAAAAGGACAATGCGGTCGTTGCAAATATAATCCGGTTTACAAGTCCAGAGTCGAATCCCACAGAGAACTAAGGCTTAGCTACAGCTGTTCACTATCACCAAGAAGACAAGCTTGAACAGTTCCTAACTTATAGATATTTAGATTCTTGTGTTTAACTAATTGATTAACAAATTAAAATAATAAATTAACAACTAAAGATACTAAGAGTTAGAGACAAGATTAAGGAGGTCTAGAGTTATGATTTCCCCAATTGTCGGAATCCTTCCCGCTATGTCTTCTATAATTTCGCCTAAGTATTCTCTACCGATCATGAGCACTCTTATTACCGTAAATCTCTCCCGAGTAATCACGACAATTTACTAGACGCACTCTCCCGAGCTACGCTAGCTGGCTTTTGATACAGCTCACTTCAGATCGCACCCAAGGCTTCGTTATCCCTAATCCCGCCTTTAAACCCTCGGTTATTGATCCCTCATATACTCTGGGAGTGGTGTTGTTCAACAATTACCTAAATATGCACTCTCTCCCGAGTTATGCATACTAAATAGGCACAGCTAATTGAGAGCTCTTCAATTAACTACAATAAGAACGTAGTTGAACAAACAGAGAAAAACTATGGCTCAATTATATAAAAACATAACAAGAATTTATCCTACAAAAGGTTCTATCAAAACTCTAGATAACAAATTAGCTATTCATAATAGTATGTAAAACTACGATACTAAAAGTCATAACCAACAATGAAAAATAGGAAGAGGAAGGAAAAACTTGTAGAAGAATTCCCAAGCCTTGCTTCTATTGTGTCTTTGCCTCCTTAGGTCAAATCTATGTCAAAATGTCTAATCCAATTCTTGGCCGGCTTCCTTGGTTTAATATAGGGTTTAGGGCTTAAAATCCCGTGTTTTGCACTTTAGTCCCTGAAAGTTTCGCCTCCTGTTGCGGTTCTACCGCGGTCGCGGTCAAACCGCGATCAAACATGGCCTCTGCTGCTTCAATTGTCTGCGAGCAGCCCTCACCGCGGTTCTGCCGCGGTCGCGGTAAAACCGCGGTATTTCATCCTGTTCCGTTTGGAATTTGGAAAAACGTAAAACATGAAAGTTGTAGCCCTTTGAGTTAGCTTTCCAACCATATATTATGGAGCCCAAATGGAGTTCTGAGTAAAAAGTTATGTCTATTTTACTAGACAGTGCGCAATATGCCTCTTCGAGTTTTCGTTTTGTTGTTTTATCATCCGTTGATCCCCGAACGCGATCCCGGCTTAATTCCTTGAGCTCTTACTCAGACTTCAAAGCTCAAAACCACTTAAATTTATTCCATAACATCTATATAGCTCGGAATCACACCTACAAGGCATAAAATACACAATTAGTGCAAAATACTAGTGATTAAAGCGCAAACTCAACTAAAGTGCAATAAATTAGAGTGTAATAATCGATTAAAATATGTAATTATTGCCTATCATCAACACCCCACACTTAAATCATTGCTCGTCCTCGAGCAATCAACCTACACCTTTTTTTTATAGACACAACCTTTTTAAACAATTCTCCTAACCCATCGCACCAAGAGTATTTAAAATAGACTAAGCACAAAAGTGTAACATCTTCACCTCAAGATTTGACTCCCAAGTACCACGCATTATTCACAACTCACCCACTTACTCTAACATAGAGGTCACTAACATTACCTTTCCTTCATGAATCAAGTGCCCTCACACAACAAAAGTGAGTAGTTCCACACAATAAAATTTAAGAACACTTAGGAACTCAAGATAGAAAGAATTCACTTACTCTCAGAAATAACATTCATATGCCACAAAAGATGCACCATAAGCTTGCCCGTAGTGTACTACTCCACTAATCAAGCTCATTCAATCTTGGATCAATTAGGACTTTATTTGGTTGTAATGTAGGCT